CCGATTGCACCCGCCAGCCTCCTAACAGCTCACTTCCCTTCGACTCCCAGGGGGCCTGCCATTGGGAGGTGGGGTGTCATCCCTCTTCCTCAGCTCGCACTCTAAGACCAAAGGCAAAGGGGGTGCCTACCAAGGATTGGCTGCCGGCTTCCCATTTCAGAGGTTCTAGGCAGCATGAGACTAGAAGACCAGAGGAGAACAATGAGTGAGGGAGTGAGGGAGTAAGGGAGTGAGTGATGTGTGTGGAGGGCGGCCAGGGGAGGGGAGGGATGTGTGTAGGTTACACAAGGGCATAATATTTGATACAATGGGAAAGGAGAAACAATATCCTTTGCACAAGGGTAATATGCAAATTCGTCAGGACACCCTCACAGTAACAACCAAACAGCAGGCTGGGTGGGGTGAGCAGGTCGGCAGGAGGGGCAGTTGGGGACAATCAGGTCAGTAGGCAAAGGTGGTTAGGGGAGATCAGGCAAGCAGGCAGGCAGGATCAGGCCTAAACCAGCAGTCAGACATCCCCCAAGGGGTCCCAGATTGGAGATGGTGCAGACTGAGCTGAGAGCCACCCCCCACACACACACAAATTTCGTGCACCAGGCCTCTAGTTAAGTAATAGTAGCCCCATTTATTGGGCCTTTCTTATATGCTGTGAAGTATTTTGTACTCAATAGTTCATTTACTTTTCCAAACAACTCAGTGAGGGCAGCATCTATGTGCCCCTTTTACAGATGGAGATACAGGCCTACTGAGTCCCACAAGCTCTCGAGTGGTCAGGCTCCAGGATGCAGATCTGAGGCCCTTGCTGGGAAGCAGGTGAAGGGAAGGAACTGGTTTATGGCGCAGAGGCTGCGGCCAGACACAAAGAGCCCCTGGCGGTGGGGCCTCCGGGCTGCAGTCGTGGTGACAGGTGTGGCGAGCACTCCCTCTGAGGGTGCTCACATCACGGGGATGGACGCCTGTGTGCGGCCAGCTGAGGGGAGCACTGTGCTCTGAGGCCAGCCTCGCTGAGCACAGGATTGCCGGCAGGAAGCCGTTAGGGCTCAGAAGACGGTTCTGTCCCCTCTTCTTCATCAATCAGCTCTGCCCGCCATGTTCCAAGTCCCTCCCCTTCCCCCAGTGGGTCCCAGAAGAAGGAAGCAGAGAGCCCCTTTGTCTGTGTTCCTGTTTCTGTCCCTCCGCTGTCTCTGTCTCTTTAAATTCTGGGTTTGGAGATAAGGTTCCACCTCCTCTCTGTCTACCACCTCTTCCCCCATAACCAGCGTCTTAGTTAAATGGCAGATCGAACTGCATTAGGAAATGTGTGAGCCGACCTCTGTCCCTACTCCAGCTCTCCACAATTCAGAACAGAACACTGGAGTGAGGACAGGCCCCCGGTAGGTGAGGCCCTGAGAAGTGTGGGGGATCTGGCAGGGTTTGGGCACCGAGGGCGCGGGCCCTTTGAGGCAGCTCTGTCCTGCTGGCTCGGGCCGGAGAAAAGACTGTTCTGTGCCGAGTGTGTTCTCTGTCCCTAACCCTCAGACAAGCACCAACTTCCAAACTCTTATATCACGTATTACCGGGGGTTTTGTTAAACACACACACACACACACACATACACACACACACACACACACACATTTTCAGGGTTTTCCCCCACGGAGTTTAATTGGCTAGATTTTGGGACCAGGTTTTTTTTTGTGTTTTTTTTAAATATATTTTTTCTTATTGATCTCAGAGAGAAAGGGAGAGAGGGAGAGAAACTTCAATGATGAGAGAGAATCATTGATTGGCTGCCTCCTGCATGCATCTCCTTCCCCCACCCCCACCCCCCATTGGGAATGAGCCCACAACCCAGGCATGTGCTCTGATCAGGAATTGAACCGTGACCTCAAGGTGCGAAGCGGGTGCTCAGCCCCTGAGCCACGTCTGCCGCGGGCCCGGTTTCAGCAGGCATCCAGCGCGCGGTGCGGAGGCAGGCCCAGAGCACCGGGCCGAGCCCCGCCGCCTGTGCGGGAAGGGCGCGATGCCAGCAGAGGGGTCTGGGCCTGCGCGGCCTGCTCCCGGCGGCCCCAGCGGCCTGCTGGCAGCTCTGGGCCTGACGGGCGCCTGGGCGGGGCCACGCGGGGCGGGGTTAGGGCAGAGGGTGTTTACGTATCTGCACTCACGGCCTCAGAATGAGACCGGGGACACAGCCCTGGCCGGCGGCTCCGCGGGCCGAGCGCCAGCCGCGGAGGAAGGGCGGGTTCGACGGCGGGTTCGGGGCGGGTTCGGCGGCGGGTTTAATGGCGGGTTCGGCGGCGGGTTCGGCGGCGGGTTCGGTGGCGGGTTCGGTGGCGGGTTCGATGGCGGGTTCGGCGGCGGGTTTAGTGGCGGGTTCGGCGGCGGGTTTAGTGGCGGGTTCGGCGGCGGGTTTAGTGGCGGGTTCGGTGGCGGGTTTGGTGGCGGGTTCGGCGGCGGGTTCGATGGCGGGTTCGGTGGCGGGTTCGGCAGCGGGTTTAGTGGCGGGTTCGGCAGCGGGTTTAGTGGCGGGTTCGGTGGCGGGTTTGGTGGCGGGTTCGGCGGCGGGTTCGATGGCGGGTTCGGTGGCGGGTTCGGCGGCGGGTTCGGTGGCGGGTTTAATGGCGGGTTCGGTGGCGGGTTCGGCAACGGGTTTAGTGGCGGGTTCGGCGGTGGGTTCGGTGGCGGGTTCGATGGCGGGTTTAGTGGCGGGTTCGGTGGCGGGTTCGGCGGCGGGTTTGGTGGCGGGTTCGGCGGCGGGTTTAGTAGCGGGTTCGGCGGCGGGTTTAGTGGCGGGTTCGGCGGCGGCGGGTTTAGTGGCGGGTTCGATGGCGGGTTTGGTGGCGGGTTCGGTGGCGGGTTCGGTGTTGGGTTCGGCAGCGGGTTTAGTGGCGGGTTCGGCGGCGGGTTCGGTGGCGGGTTTAATGGCGGGTTCGGTGGCGGGTTCGATGGCGGTTCGGCGGCGGGTTTAGTGGCGGGTTCGGTGGCGGGTTTAGTGGCGGGTTCGATGGCGGGTTCGACGGCGGGTTCGATGGCGGGTTCGACGGCGGGTTCGGCGGCGGGTTCGACGGCGGGTTCGGTGGCGGGTTTAATGGCGGGTTCGGTGGCGGGTTCGATGGCGGGTTCGGCGGCGGGTTCGACGGCGGGTTCGGTGGCGGGTTTAATGGCGGGTTCGGTGGCGGGTTCGGCAACGGGTTTAGTGGCGGGTTCGGCGGTGGGTTCGGTGGCGGGTTCGATGGCGGGTTTAGTGGCGGGTTCGGTGGCGGGTTCGGCGGCGGGTTCGGCGGCGGGTTCGGTGGCGGGTTCGGTGGCGGGTTCGATGGCGGGTTCGGCGGCGGGTTTAGTGGCGGGTTCGGCGGCGGGTTTAGTGGCGGGTTCGGCGGCGGGTTTAGTGGCGGGTTCGGTGGCGGGTTCGGCGGCGGGTTCGGCGGCGGGTTCGGTGGCGGGTTCGATGGCGGGTTCGGTGGCGGGTTCGATGGCGGGTTCGGTGGCGGGTTTAGTGGCGGGTTCGGCGGCGGGTTCGGCGGCGGGTTCGGTGGCGGGTTCGATGGCGGGTTCGGCGGCGGGTTCGGCGGCGGGTTCGATGGCGGGTTCGGTGGCGGGTTCGATGGCGGGTTCGGTGGCGGGTTCGATGGCGGGTTCGATGGCGGGTTCGGTGGCGGGTTCGGTGGCGGGTTCGGTGGCGGATTCGATGGCGGGTTCGGCGGCGGGTTCGATGGCGGGTTCGGCGGCGGGTTCGGCGGCGGGTTCGGCGGCGGGTTCGGTGGCGGGTTCGATGGCGGGTTCGGTGGCGGGTTCGATGGCGGGTTCGGTGGCGGGTTTAGTGGCGGGTTCGGCGGCGGGTTCGGTGGCGGGTTCGATGGCGGGTTCGGTGGCGGGTTCGATGGCGGGTTCGGTGGCGGGTTCGATGGCGGGTTCGGCGGCGGGTTCGATGGCGGGTTCGGCGGCGGGTTCGGCGGCGGGTTCGATGGCGGGTTCGGTGGCGGGTTTAGTGGCGGGTTCGGTGGCGGGTTCGGTGGCGGGTTCGATGGCGGGTTCGGCGGCGGGTTCGACGGCGGGTTTGATGGCGGGTTTAGTGGCGGGTTCGGCGGCGGGTTTGATGGCGGGTTTGGTGGCGGGTTCGGTGGCGGGTTCGGTGTTGGGTTCGGCAGCGGGTTTAGTGGCGGGTTCGGCAGCGGGTTTAGTGGCGGGTTCGGCGGCGGGTTCGGTGGCGGGTTTAATGGCGGGTTCGGCGGCGGGTTCGACGGCGGGTTTGATGGCGGGTTCGACAGCGGGTTTGATGGCGGGTTTAGTGGCGGGTTCGGCGGCGGGTTCGGTGGCGGGTTTAGTGGCGGGTTCGGCGGCGGGTTCGGTGGCGGGTTTAGTGGCGGGTTCGGCGGCGGGTTCGGTGGCGGGTTTAGTGGCGGGTTCGGCGGCGGGTTCGGTGGCGGGTTTAGTGGCGGGTTCGTCGGCGGGTCGGCGGCGGGTCGGCGGCGGCCACGGGCACGGGCCTGGGCTGCAGGCTCGGTCCCTGCCCGGCGGTGCGCGCGGGAGGCAGCCAGTGGGTGGCCCTCCCTCCCTCCTCCCTCCCTCCTCCCTCCTCCCTCCTCCCAGAAACCAGTGGAAGTTAAGCCGCCAGGAGCGCGGGCACAGACCCGCCGGATAGACCCCTGGCCGGTCCCGCAGCACCGGCCTCCGCGGCCGGGATTGCGGGCTCCGCCCCGCGCGGCTCCGGGGCGCGGCCGCCTCCCAGGCCCTGCGGCGGCCCGGGTCCGGGCTGCGGAGGCGAGGGAGGCCCCGGGCGCCCCACAGCCTCTCCCTGCGCCCCCGGAGCGGGCGGCGCGCCGGGCCGGGGCTTTGTCGGGCCGCTGCGTCCCGCCGCCGTCCACGTGGCAGCGCCGCCGGCGGCGGGCGGGGCCGGGGCCGCCCACAGGCGGGCGGGCCGGCGCCGCGGGCCCTTTAAGGCGGCGGCCGGGAGGAAGTGCGGGGGACGCCGCCCGCCGCCCGCCGCCCCTCCGCCAACTTCGCCCAGCGGCCCGGCCGGGATGCGCCCGCCGGCGCTGCTGCTGCTGCCGGTGCTGCCGGCGCTGCTGGGGGCCGCGCGGGCCGAGCTGCGGGTGCGCGTGCGGCTGCCGGGCGGCCGGGTGGCGGAGGAGCGGCTGCAGGCCGACAGCGCGGGCGACAGCGTGGGCCTGGAGCTGCGGGAGCCCGACGGCGCCCTGGTCTCGCTCACCGCCGACTTCCGGAAGGTGAGCCCGCACGCCCGCCGGGCCGGCCCGCGCCCGACCCCGAGCCCCGGCCTCCAAGTCCGCCCCCGCCCGGTGCCTGCGGGACAGCCAGAGGCCCGGCTGCAGTGACGGCCAGTCCTCCTCCCCGTCCCCCTCCCCGTACTCCTCCCGGTCCTCCTCCCTGTCCCCGTCCCATCCCCTTCCTCCTGCTCCCCTCCTCCTGCTCCCCTCCTCCTGCCCCCCTCCTCCTGCTCCCCTCCTCCTGTCCCCCTCCTCCTGCCCCCCTCCTCCTGCTCCCCCTCCTCCTGCTCCCCTCCTCCTGCTCCCCTCCTCCTACCCCCCTCCTCCTGCTCCCCCTCCTCCTGTCCCCCTCCTCCTGTCCCCCTCCTCCTGCTCCCCTCCTCCTGCTCCCCCTCCTCCTGTCCCCCTCCTCCTGCTCCCCTCCTCCTGCCCCCCTCCTCCTGCTCCCCCTCCTCCTATCCCCCTCCTCCTGCTCCCCTCCTCCTACCCCCCTCCTCCTGCTCCCCTCCTCCTGTCCCCCTCCTCCTGCTCCCCCTCCTCCTGCTCCCCTCCTCCTGTCCCCCTCCTCCTGCCCCCCCTCCTCCTGCCCCCCTCTTCCTGCTCCCCCTCCTCCTGCTCCCCTCCTCCTGTTCCCCCTCCTCCTGCCCCCTTCCTCCTGCCCCCTTCCTTCTATCCCCCTCCTCCTATCCCCTTCCTCCTACCCCCCTCCTCCTGCTCCCCCTTCTTCCTGCTCTCCCTCCTCCTGCCCCCTTCCTCCTATCCCCCTCCTCCTGCTCCCCTCCTCCTGCCCCCTTCCTCCTGCTCCCCCTCCTCCTGCTCCCCCTCCTTCTACTCCTTCCTCCTATCCTCTTCCTCCTGCTCCCCCTCCTCCTGCTCCCCTTCCTCCTGCCCCCTCCTCCTGCTCCCCCTCCTCCTGCTCCCCCTTCTTCTACCCCTTCCTCCTATCCCCTTCCTCCTGCTCCCCCTCCTCCTGCTCCCCCTCCTCCTGCTCCCCCTCCTTCTACCCCTTCCTCCTATCCCCTTCCTCCTGCTCCCCTTCCTCCTGCTCCCCCTCCTCCTGCTCCCTCTCCTCCTTCTGCCCCCTCCTCCTGCTCCCCCTCCTCCTGCTCCCCCTCCTCCTGCTCCCCCTCCTCCTGCCCCCTTCTATCCCCCTCCTCTTGCTCCCCCTCCTCCTGCTCCCCCTCCTCCTGCCCCCTTCCTCCTATCCCCCTCCTCTTGCTCCCCCTCCTCCTGCTCCCCTCCTCCTGCTCCCCCTCCTCCTTCTGCCCCCTCCTCCTGCTCCCCCTCCTCCTGCTCCCCCTCCTCCTGCTCCCCTTCCTCCTGCTCCCCTTCCTCCTGCTCCCCTCCTCCTGCTCCCCCTCCTCCTGCCCCCTTCCTCCTATCCCCCTCCTCCTGCTCCCCCTCCTCCTGCCCCCTTCCTCCTATCCCCCTCCTCCTGCTCCCCCTCCTCCTGCCCCCTTCCTCCTATCCCCCTCCTCCTGCCCCCTTCCTCCTGCTCCTCCTCCTCCTGCTCCCCCTCCTCCTGCTCCCCTCCTCCTGTTCCCCCTCCTCCTGCTCCCCCTCCTCCTGCCCCCTTCCTCCTGCTCCCCCACCTGAACTCCAGGGCGGTGTGCCCTTCCTAGAAAACCCAAACAGGGCTGGACCCTCAGGAAACAGACTCAACCTGCCCTTCCCACCTCCATGGTGCCTTTGCCGAGTGAGCCTCGGCGCCCAGCCTGCCCTCCTGTCCGGCCCATGCCCGCCCGCGTGCTGTGGCTGGCACCTGGGCCCTCTCCGAGGGGCTGCTCGCGGCCAGGCTGGCCGTGTGGCCGCGCTGCAGTCTGGATGCCGCTCGGGCAGGAGAGGGGCGAGCTGGGCGGGGCCGGGGGCCGCGGGCGGGAGGCCGCTCCGGGAGGCATGTGTGGCCAGCTGCAGGAGCCCCATTAATCCCCAGCAGCTCACACCTCGCCATGTCTGCCATTCTTCTCAGGCTGGCCTCTGGCATCCAGGTTCCGCTGAGAGGGAGCTCCGGGCGGGGGCAGCCGCAGGCGGGGCTGGGCAGTGCCAGCGCCCAGGGCTCCCACCACTCCCAGGCCCGCCAGTTCTCGGCCTCCGAGCCTGCGGTGGGCGCCCGGAGGTTCTGCCCAGAAGGAATTAATTTCCCTTGTAGGAAAGAATGCGGGACACAGCGCTCCTTTGCTCCCTGCGCCGAATCCCTCAAGGCGTTGGGGAAGCCCGGTCTGCGGGAGGGCGCTTGCCCTTTGTCACCTCTGGGGAGGGGCCCGACTGGAATGAGGCAGGCTGAGGGCTGGCCGCCTTGGTCCCTGCAGGCCTCGCGTGCTCATCTGGAACGGGACGGGGACGGGGACGGGGACAGGGACGGGACGACGCGGCGCAGCCCGCGGCCACGGAGGGAAGCAGGAGCAGGCACAGTGCTCGCGGTGGTGCGGTGCTCAGGAGAAGCCATGGGCTGCCACCGCATCCGGGCAGGGACCCTCCCTGTCAGTTTGGGCGCAAGGAGGTTGGATGACAGACCCCAAGTCACACAGCAGGCGGCACCTCATAGTGACCTCTTTTTGGAGCACCGAGTGTCCGAGTTCTCCGGGGAAACAGAAATAACACACACACACACACACACACTCAGACACAGACACACACACACACACACACACACACACTCAGACACAGACATGCAGACACATGCAGACACAGACACACACACACACACATACACACACACACACACTCAGACACAGACATGCAGACACAGACACACACACACACTCAGACACAGACATGCAGACACAGACACACACACACACACTCAGACACAGACATGCAGACACAGACACACACACACACACTCAGACACAGACATGCAGACACAGACACACACAGACACATAGACATAGATACACACACATATACAGACACATATGGGACACACACAGAGTCATGGACACACAGAGAGACACACACGGACATATACGGGCATACACACGGACACACAGACACCCACGGAGACACAGACACACACACAGGTATATAGAAAGAGATTTTCAAATGTCATGACGTTTAAAAAATGTTTTATTCTCTGGGTATTAAGCAGTTCCACTTTTAACTTCTGAGGTCATTCATCCTCTCTGCACATCGGCTGCACCAGTCTGCACACCGCAATGCCTGAGGTTCCTCTTTTCCGAATCCTTCCAGCACTTGCTGTTTGTTGACTTATTGATGGCAGCCATTCTGACAGGTGTGAGGTGACACCGCATTGTGGTGCAATTTGCATCTCTCTGATGCTCCGTGACTGAGCATTTTTTCATATGTCTCTTGACTTTCTGAATGTCCTCTTTGGGGAAAGAGTATCCCTTCAGGTCCTTTGCCTGTTTAATTGGATTGTTTTCATTTTGGTGTTGAGTTACATAAGTTCTTCATCAGTGTTGGATATTAGCCCCTTATCAGATGTAACATTGGCAAATATCTTCTCCCATTCACAGGTTGTTTATTCATTCTGCTGGCGGTTTCCTTTGCTGTGCAAAACACTTTAGTTTGATATAGTCCCATTTGTCTATTTTTTCTTTGGTTTCTCTTGCCTGAGAAATACATCAGCAAACATATTGCTAGGAGAGATGTCTGAGATTTTGCTGCCTTATGTTTTCTTCTAGGATTTTTATGGTTTCAGGTCTTGCATTTAAGTCTGTAATCCATTTTGAGCTTATTCTTGTGTTTGGTGTAAGAAAGTAGCTTAATTTCATTTTTTGCACATCTGTCCAATTTTTCCAGCACCATTTATGGACCTGACGATCTGGATCCTATTTGTATTCTCGCCTCCTTTGGTGAATATTAATGGGCCCTAGGACATGCGTTTGCTTCTGAGCTGGCTCTTCTGTCCGTTGGTCTGTCGGTCTGCGTGCCAGGCCCGTGCTCTTTGATCACTGTGGCCTTGTAGTATAGTTTACTATCAGATGGCATGATTCCTCCAACTCTGTTCTTCTTTCTCAAGATTGCTGTGGCTATTTTGGGGTCCTTTGTGGTTTCAATAAGAAAGTAAGAGAGAGGACCCAAAAAATAAAATCAGAAATGAAAAAGGGGAATTAACAACTGACTCCACAGAAATACAAAGGATTGTAAGGAAATATGGAAACGATATGCCAACAAATTGGACAGGTGGGAGAAATGGACAAATCCATGGAAACATACAATCATCCAAAACTGAATCAGGAAGAATTAGAAAACCTGAATAGACAGATTACAGCTAATGAAATTGAAGTAGTAATCCAAAAACTCCCAACAATCAAAAGTCTTGACTTTTTGAAGATTACTACTTTCTTAATGAGACCGGGTAAAGGTCTGTCTTATTTATCTTTTCACAGAACCGCCTTGGTTTCATTGCCTTTTTGATTTTCTTCAGTCTCTATTTGTTTCTTTAGCCCTGTCTTTATTACTCCTTTCTTCTGCTCACTCTGTGCTTTGTTTGTTCTTCTTTCCAAGTTCCTTAAGTGTAAAATTAGATTGTTCATTTCAGATTTTTCTTGTTTCTTGAAGTATGCCAGTAACACTCAGAATTTCCCTCTTAGGACTGCTTTCTCTATGTTCCATAGTTTTTGAGTTGTTGTGTATTCATTTTCATTTGTTTCAAGATATTTTAATTTATTCCTTGATTTCATTGTTAACCCATTCCTTGTTCAGTAACATGTTGTTTAGCTTCCATGATGTGTTTTCAGTTTTTTTCTTGGATTGATTTCTACTTTCATACCATGATGGTCAGAGAAGATGCTGGGCGCCTCTCACAAGCTGGTAGCCAAGGTGAGATTTTTAAAATATATTTTTATTGATCTCAGAGAGGAAGGGAGAGGGAGAGAGGGATAGAAGCATCCATGATGAGAGGATCATGGAGCAGCTGCCTCCTGCACATCCCACACCTGGGGTCGACCCCACAACCTGGGCCTGTGCCCAGACCAGGAATCGAACCCTGACCTCCTGGTTCACAGGTCGATGTTCAACCCCTGAGCCATGCCGGC